TATATATAAAGCTCATTTAGATTAGTTAAAAAGCAACGCTTCCACAAATCATAATCTAATTTCTTATGTCAGTTTATAATCATGTTGATTGATAACTATTCATAGATAGATTTTCATCTGAAACCGCCATCGTCTTTATATAAATATTATATATACTTTCTACCTCACCAATCTTTCGTCCTTGACACGCGTTACCAACGCAAAAGTAACTGAAGTGAATGAACTTTTCATTTACTTGAATTACTTTTTTTTTTAATTTAAATGAACGTACGGATTTGTATTGAAAGGTACGTTTCTGAACATGCGGGCAGTAAGAGCCCGAATCATTTTGAAACATCGTTTCAAAGCACCTTGATGGGCTGTTTGATGTCTATAACACTGAATGCATTGGATCGCGGCCTTACCGTATTATAAATGGAAGGAAATGTAGTTACCTGAGCGCTTTATGAGCAATCGCTCAACAACAGAACATCAAAGCTCTCCGATTTTCTTTCAGCACTTTGTATCGATATCGACCTATTTTTTAAATAGGTGTTTTATTTTTCTATCATTTATCTGCGCGTGTCGATGGGTCCCGTTAGAAGCATCTCTTAGCTCTGTGGATAGAGGCGTATTTTATGTTCATATAGATTTAAGTATAGCTAAGCAAAATAGGAATAAGCTGGTCAATTCTATGTTAATGTGCTTAAACAATGTGTACAAGCGGAAGCTTACGATCGAGGTCGAAGAATTACGGCCTAAACGAGATAAGCTTAAACGACTGGTCTAGATCAACTGATGATCAGTACCAATGTGACACCAGGATAGGCTCGACAACACCTGTCTAATGGAATAAGCTCTAATGTCATTTGTTCCAGTGTCCTTTGTCGTGCCAATATGCGACACACTTATTACCTACGACTTGTCTATAGTAATCAGCATAAATATCATAGATAAAAACGCAACAAGACCTCGTACTTTTCTATTTTATTTTTTCAATTTATAACGGCGTACGGGACGAGAAAAATAGTCAACGTTAAAGTTATAAGCATATCGTTAAGGATATCCATCGTTAACTTAGTTTTCGCTTTTAGCTGAAATGGCTAAAGTAGAAGTTAGCGCACTCACACATGATAACCTCATCACTGAAAATAAACCGCACAGTACCCTGAGCTGAACAAAGACTTTCGT